TTTAAATAGAATAGTATCACATTTAAGGGTAGCCTCTCTACAACAGCACCTCACTAATTTCGGTCTTTTGGCAAATTGGTTATACTTTAATTTTTTGAATTATTAATATGGGTCGAAGATTAAGGTTAGTCCCCATATAACGGCACCGAAGTCTTCCGGTTTTTTTGTATACATTTCACCACACTGTAGTACAGGGTATTATGTCTTTGTGCATATGTTTGTAACAGGTAAAGGGAATCGAGATAGACCCAAGGTTCCTATTGAGAATATGCATAGAATCACTTTCTGAGTAGATTTATAGATGTCCATCTGTCCGTCCATGTATTTTTGTGAGCAACGTACAGGTCGCATTTGTTACGCGATTTTGATGAAATTTGCCACAGGTCACTTATATGACCCAAGGACGAACCCTATATAAATTTTGTCCGATAGAGACAATATTTTTCACAGCATACTGACTTAAGTCCTGATTTGGGTATGTGAAGTTTTGTTGGAATCGATTCAGATATAGCTTCCATATATATTTTCGTGCGATTTTGTTGTGAATGGAGCTCCATACTGCCAATATTTGACCGATTGGTACAAAATTTTGCACAGCGTACTGAATTAAGTCCTCATTGACGTATATGAAGTTTTTTTTTGGAATCGCCTCATATTTAGATATAGCTCCCATATAGAGTTTCGTCCGTTTTTTGTAAATGTTGCATCAAACTCCTAATATTGGTCCGATAGAGACAATATTTTGCACAGCGTACTGAATTAGGCCCAGATTAATGTATGCTTTGTTGGAATTGGTTTTGATGTAGCTCCCATATATAGTTTTGTCCGATTTTATGTAAGTGGAGCACTATACTGTCAATATTTTTTTTGAGACAACATTTTGTACAGCGTACTGAATTAGGTTCTGATTGTCATATGCTATGATTCACGAAATTTAACAGGGGTATGGTATTTATTTTAGAATACGTTTTGTAAATTGGAAATCGGTTCAGATTTAAATATAGCTTACGTACATACTTTAGTCCCATTTTATGTTAATGATACTCCATAGATCGTGTTCTATTTACACGATATTTTGTTGTTGAAATCAGTTCAGATGTAGATATAGCTCCCAAATGTACATGTTTTTGTATGTTTGCTGTACATGAAGTCGCTGTTTGCTGTATTGGATTGAAGTCGTTTCAGGTTTATATATAGCTTCCATATATAGTAAAAGTAAACGAGATAGACCTATAGTTACTTTTGAAACTATGCATAGAATCACTTTCTTAGTCGATGTATGAATATCCGGCACTCCGTCAGTATGTTGATCTAAAATTGTAAACAGAGTACAGGAACCATTTGATGGTGGGTAAGTGTTGCCATTTCCTTGCCTCAGTACAGTTGCGTCCGATGTCGACAACTCTGGGGAGAAAAGAAAACTTATGTTGTTGTGACATATTATAAAGGTTCTTGAACGGGAAACTGTGTTTGCATAAAACAGTTGGTAATTTATGTGATTTCATCCAGAGCTCTTGGTTTTGACAGTCCAACGTTCCTGTATTAACCCGATGTGTGTATTACCTTTAATTATTTTTTCCATCAGTGCCAGAGTTGTAGTTTCACTCTGATGAAGGTTTACCTGCATGACCACTGGCAATGGTACTCCAGTAAATGATATTCTTGGGAGTCGGTTGTCTTCACCTCGGCTCCCTCTAGATACCTTGTTTGAAAGAGTCCAATGTTCCTGTGTTAAACCGATGTGTATATTACCCTTAATTATTCTTTCCATCAGAGCCAGAGTTGCAGTTTCACTCTGATGGAGGTTTACCTGAATGACCATTGGAAATTGTCCTCCAGTAAAGATCCTCTTGGAAGTCGATTATCTTTTCCCCATCTCCCTCACTCTTGTTGATGGGTGTTTTTCCCTCGCTAATCTTGTGGCATACTCCTCTCCTTTCCAATAATGAAGGCAACTGCGTTGGACACGTGGTGCTTCTTGCCCCTAGTCTTGATCAGACTTGTCAATATTGATCTATCTAGGCCCATCACAGGTATAGTTCCATCTTTGGAAGAATTCCCATTTTATCACCAGCAGTATCCTGTATTGTATACCAAAGACTTCGAGCATTCGTTCCGTCGTGAATTCACTGCTCCAACCTCTAACGAGTACCGTTGCCTTTTGTAATTGAGGAAGTTCCCTTTTCCTCAACAAATATAGAGTAGGCTATGCCTTCTCTTACTATCAGTCAATAGAAAGCATCCTTTTCCTTTTTTTGGGATTTTGACGTTCGTCAGCTCTTGCGGAGTCCTAATACTCTCCGCTACTTCAGAGGAAGTCAAAGGACCCTCAGGTTTATTCCTCTGAGTATTGGATTGCTGATTAAAAGGGGGAAACACATACCAGGATTCAGGCCAGTTAAGTTTGTTTTCTATGCCAATTTTTTAGCTTTCCTGATGCACTGCTTTGTGACTCCTGGTAACCTTCACATAAGATGGCGGGTCCTTACCATTCATTTTGGAGCAACCGGAATTCACGGAAGATTCGGATGCAGGGTTCGTCTTATTGATATTTGAGTAGGCTATGCCTTCTTTAATATCACCCAATGGATCGTCAGGTTTAAACGAGGATTCCGGCTTGGTCCCTTTAGTTGGCTTTCTGTGTCAATTTACAAAGGAATATAAGAGTCAAATTTGATTTTGGACGGCGTTCTCATTTATTATTTTACTTAATATGCCAAAGCCCTCATAAACGTTACCCCTTAATTTTGTTCCTCCAATTCATTCTAGATATTTTTCGCTTTTTTGCCCAAGATAATTGCTTTTTCTTCGTAGTGAACTTGGTAATGCCCTCGATCACTTCCTCAACGATCTTATCAGACTCTACGCTCCTTCGGCTTTCTAGGACGGTTGTGTCCTCATTTTCAGACTCAATATTTAACTTAAAGTTCAATCCTGCCTCAGAGGTGGGGTGTAGATTGCTCTTCCCCTGTAATCCTCAAACTCAGATCAATGTTTGTTCATTGGCTGCGTACTCAAAATTTAAGTTAGAGTTCAATCCTTTTTCACAGATTGGATATAGATTGCTCTTCCTCTATGGTCCTCAAGCTGTGATCCATTTTTGCTCATTGGCTGCATGCCTTTGGCGGAACCTTCGACTACAGATGCCAAGACTACCACATCTGTAGGAGATGTTTGCTTACGATAGTAAGATGATGGTAGGGCGTGACTCGTGAGTGGATCAACGACACCCGCCGGTACTGAGGTATTTAGGATCTCAATTGTAACCATTGTAGGTTTCGACAAAATCGGTTCAGATATAGTTTGAGATTTTCGAGAGTTTTACATACCCTTCACCACACTGTGGTACAGGGTATTATGTCTTTGTGTATATGTTTGTAACAGGCGAAAAGAATCGAGATAGACCCATGGTTCCTTTTGAGAATATGCATAGAATCACTTTCTGAATCGATTTACGCATGTCCGTCCATGTATTTTTGTGAAAAAAGTAAAGGTCGCATTTATGATCCGATTTGGATGAAATTTGGCACAGTTCACTTTTTTGGCCCTATTGAAATTAGAGAAAAACGTTTCAGATTTAGATGTAGCTCCAATATATATATATAGTTTCGCCCGATTTGATGTGAATGATACACCAAACCCCTCAATATTTGTCCGATTCGGACAAAATTTTACATAGAGTACGCAATTAGGTCCACACTGATGTCTGCGAAGTTTTGTTAAAATCAGTTCAGATTTATATATATCTTCCCTATATAGTTTCGTCCGATTTTGCGTGAATGATACACCAAACTCCCAATATTTGTCCGATTGAGCAATGATATAGGTATTATACATATATATTTTCGTTCGATTTTATGTAAATGGTGCGCCGAAGGGCCTATGTTTTTCGATTTACACGAAATTTGGCAGAGGGTATTACATTGAATTTAGAGTGATAACAAAAAAAAAAAAAAATGTTACGGTAGCTGAATTGCGTCCATGTGTTTATACATATATAGCTCCCATACATAATTTTACTCGATTTCATAAAAATGGTAGACCAAAGAATTCTTGTCTGCTCGTTTGACGTGCAAGTTTTTCATTGATTTCAGAATGGTATGTGTATGGGATTTTTCCAATTGGTTCAAATATGTATCTAGATAGCACATTTGATTTCACCCGATTCCATCTCAATGGTCCTCCAAAGATTCTATGTCTGTTTTATCTACAGGATATTGTAGATATTAATAACTCTTGTATGTGCCCAAAGTGGTGAAGTGTATCATATAGTCGGCCCTATCCGACTTTTGAATTTTCCTTAGTGGGTTCCTTCATAAAGAACAATCTAAAATTTGAGAACAATTCATTTCGTACCAGTAATTAATTGTGACTAAAAAATGATGCCGCTTGTTAGCTGTCGAGCAAATTATTCATCGTCTTTATTTGCAATTTTAATTTTCAAATTAAATTTGGTAGTAATGTAATTTCGCAGATAGAAAACTATCTGTGAATGAGTGTCATAAAAACAATCCAGTCCTTCCAGTTGTTTATTTTCCCCATAATTGAGAATGTCCCAATTTTTTTAGTGTGAATGACTTAGTTATGTGGTTGATAGAGAATTTTAATTGTGGATTTTCCTTAAGCAAAAAAAAAAAAAAAAAACTTGAATCCGGCGTTTTAATGTAACAACAAAAATATGATGTTCTCATTTGAGATTTTTTGGAGACCCATTGGATTCTCCCTTTCGGTCGATCGCGCTCCCGATGTCTCTCTTTCTCTCTGAATTCTTGACATTCACTGTAGCAAGGGCCGGCCAGACTCCCAAAACAACTAGAAAGCAACCGAGCCAGCCAGTCAGCATCATTTTATATACGATTTTATATTAAAGATCCCATCGATGATGAATCTCAGCTTAGTATAATTTTAAAACTCGTGTGTTGAGGATCGTTGGCTTGTCTTAACGCATGGTGTTTGTCTGACTGGAGAACAACGAAAAAAAAATAATTTTTATTTTTTTGTTTTTGTATTTCTTTGTTTCAATATGAAATATTCTACCGCGCTGGCTTTAATCGCTGGCATTCTGGCAGCGTTTTGTATTCAGTGCTCTGTGGCTAAAGCAAGTGAGTGTTTTGTTTGTTTTTATTTTCGTTAAACAAAGTTTCGTCGTGCGTTTATCTCTACAAAAAAACATGGCTAGCAATGATGACCCTTCGGGTTACGGGGCTACCGAAAATTGTGAGATTAGAATATAGAGACACACACACAAAAAGAACTGATAATGAATAATCATTTGAAATAAAAAAAAAAAATAAAAAAGTAATAATAAAAAAGGAAATTTGAAAAAAAAAAATAAAAACAAAACAAATGTTTCAAAGTGATTATTAAGTCAATATTTAAACGTGTTGAATTTGATTTTACACACAGTGGTACACAAACATGAATAAAGAAAAAAAAAAATGAAATGAATAATTTAAAATATGACTTGAGAGTTTATGAACCGAAATTCGAAATGAAAAAAAACAATGCAAAAAAAAAAAAAAAAAAAAAAACAAAAATAATAAATAAATTCCAAACAAGTATTTTGTGAAATTGTTTATGGATTTTAATTTCTTTTATTTGTTTTAACAATTACTTATAGTTCAGAAAATTATAACCACACATATCCGCACTATTTTTTGTTTACATAAAAATTATATATTGACTTAAATTGTATGAAATTTGATTTATTGGAATTGTGACTCATACACACACATTTGAGAGTAAGACACCAAAACTTTATTGAATAATGTATAATGGGTCTGGTAGTTGTCGGTATTTTTATTAGAAAAAAATTGGTGTTAATTAGGGCTGTGGGTCTTCCCCGGTTTTTTTTTTCTTTTGTATTTCCGGTATAAGGAGTTAATTTTTTTAATTTCTCTGAAGTTTACCCGAGTTAGAATTCGAAAAAAGTACATAACAATATTCCCCTATTGGGGAATTATCTCTCGCCCCCACTATTTTTAAAAGTTAAAAAAAAGACAAGTAGACATTTAATTTTGTAATTTTTTGCAGGAAAAATTCCCTGAAAATATGAAATGATTTGGTTAGAGGTTCGTTATTGTTTTAATAATACGTCATGATTTTAATATACTAATCTAATGGAATTTCATAAAAAAAATGATAAACAAATGAAAAACTAGGAAGGAAAGTTCAAAAGTTGGGTACATACATGAAATGCTCATATGTATAATATCCTTTAGATAGAATAGACATATCATCTTTGGAGGACCATTGAAATGGAATCTGACGAAATTAACTACGTGAAGTACATAGATATTTGAACTAAATTAAAACAACCCATACACATACCAATCTGAAATTAATGAAAAATTTAATGTCAATCATCGAGCAAAATATGTATAAGATTTAAATATAAATGGACGTATTTGAGCAACTGTGGCATCCACCATTTGCTATGCTGCAACATTCTGTGCTATCCAAAATTTATCTCGACACAAAATCAAATACACGTTATTCTATATTCGATTTGGTACGTTGTGCACTAATATGTCCTAAGCGGACAAACTTTAGTTACTTGGTACATCATTTTGATGAAATCGGATGAAAATATATGTGGAAGCTATATTTAAACGTGAAACGTCTTCAATCCAATACGCTATGCAAAATTTCATGTAAAGCGAACAGACATAGGGTCCTCCATTTGCATAAAATCGGACAAAAATACATGAGGGAGATATATCTGCATCTTAACCGATTTCAACAACAAAATATCACGCAAATAGAACAGGATTTATGGTGCACCATTTACATAAAATGGTGTAGGGGATGATAGATACCAAGCAACGGCTCTGAGTGGCTTTAACATGGCGAAGTCCAGGCTTATCTTGGTCCCTCTTTTATCTCAATTGTGGATTAAATAGTGAGCTAATATGTGCCGCGAGTTCACCTATAAGAACTATAAAAAAATGAGATGAGGCATCGGGTTAGTTGCCCACTCTCCGAAAACCCAACCTACTATGAAAAAGCAAAGAAAAAGAAAGCCAAACCCCCCCCTAATGTTGGCGACCCCCGCAAACGTATAAAGGACCACGATCTGCACATGAAATGTGTGCACGTTGTACAGAACAGGCGCAGTGTTCGCTTTGGCGGATGTACTCAAGAAGTACAAAGCCGATATTATTGCAAAATTATGTCTCGATCGGAAAAATATTGGCAGTATGGTGCTCCATTTACATAAAATCGGAGAAAAATATGTATTGAAGCTAATCTTAATCTGAACCGATTTCAACAAAACTTCACGGACGTTAAACTGCAGTAATTTCAATATGAATGCCAACATGTACTAACTTCAATAAGCTGCAAAATGTTGCCTCAATCGGACAAACATTAACATTATGGTGCACCATTTATATAAAATCGGAGGAAACTATATATGGGAAATATATCTACATCTGAACCAATTCCAACAAAACTTCGCATACATAAATTTGAACCTTATTAATTTTTGTGCCAATCGGCCTAAATTTGACTCTTCGGAGTTCCTTACTTACTTATGTGGCTTGTTACAGAACGGTTATTCCATATGCCGAGCTTAAAAAAGATTTCCAAGCGCGTCGGTCTTGTGCGCAAGTCTTGTGTGCAAGTCCACCAATTTGGAAGACCTCGTTCCAAGATATTGTTTTCTACTTGGTCTTTCCATCTAATTCGTGGCCTTCCCCTTCTACGGGAACCGTCAGTAGGCTCATTTTTATATGCCTTTTGAGGCCACCGTTGTCGCTGCAGCTCAATACGACTGACTATGTCGATGTCCGCGTATAAATTGTAAAGCTCGTGTTCATTCGACGCCGATATTCGCCATCAACGCAGATCGGCCCATAGATATTTCTTAGAATTTTTCTCTCAAACACCCCAAAAGCTGCCTCATCTGCTTGCGCAAGTACCCATGCGTCTGATCCATATAATAGCACGGGTAGTATCAGCGTCTTGTAAAGTGTGAGTTTGGTCTGGCGAGAGGTGGCCTTGCTTACTTAGACCATAGTAGCATCTGTTGGCCATCAAAATCCTTCTCCGAATTTCAAAACTGATGTCATTCGTTTTATTTATGGCGGTACCAAGGTATACAAAATCTTTAACTACCTCGAAGCTGTAGTTCTCAAGTTCCACAGTTGGTCCGAGTCTACTGGACGTCTTGCGCGTTGATACCATCAGCTTGGTCTTCTCGCCGTTTACTGTCAGACCCACTTTGACAGGCTCCTTTTCAATTTGTTCAAAGGTGACTGTTACCGCTCGCAATGTTCGACCATTATATCGATGTCATCGGCGTAGGCGAGTAACATGTGTTGTTTGGTGTACAGAATGCCATTTGTGTTCACCTTTGCGTCTCGTATGACCTTTTACAGCAGGATGTTAAAAAGATCACACGACAAACTGTCACATTGTCTGAATCCTCGTTCGGTATTGAAGGGCTCCGATAGGTCCTTTCCTACTTTAACTGCTGATCTTGTGCCACTTAAAGTTATCCTGCATAGCCGTATTAATTTTGCAGGAATACCAAACGCAGACATGGCTTTAAACACCTCTGAACGGATGGGGCTGTCGAATGCGGCTTTATAGGCTACAAATAGGTGGAATGTGTCGATGTGTTTTTCGTGGGTTTTTTCAGGAATTCAAATAGTTCATCGGAATTTCTAATTTCATAGTCGAGCAATAAGTTATCGTTACTCGACAAGCAAGTTACCTATCTATACTTATCGGTAACTTGCGACATTGTTTCCTATGAAAAGTTTTATTCTTTTGGCAGGATTTAACTGCATTTATCCATTAAACTGGTTGCAATTGATCATACCCCCCATAAAAAAGTCCTCTTTCTTTCCGTAACAAATCAGTTTTCTATTCTGTAAATGTTATTTAATTTTTCACTCAAACAATTAGAATTTCTGCCCCCACACTTAAATACTGCATGCATTAAAATCCACTTCCCTTCAAATCCTTAAAACCATTAATAAAAAATGTCAAAACATATATTTTGCAGATGAACAATGCATGACCCCCGATCGAGCCAATGGTCTATGTCGTAATCTTGTAGAATGTCCCCAGCTGTTGCAAATGTTAAGAAATACCAATAGATCACCACAAGAAACTCAATATTTGCAACAAAGTATGTGCGATCAAGTCGGTTCCATGGTTTATGTAAGTTCCAAATGTATCTCCCTCCCCCCAAAAATGGGACATTTTCATTACCTTTCGAAATGGAATTTCATTAAATTATGAAACAAAATTGCCCTTTAGACCATAAATCAAAAAATTTCTTTAGTAATTGAAGGTTGATGAACATGAAGTTTTGTTTATTTCCCCCCACTTCAAAAGTAGTTTTAAATTCATTCACAGGTATGTTGTAAATTGGAAAGTGCGGTAAGTGCTCGATCATCTTCGAATCTCTTGCCCACCACACGTGACTGTGGAAAATCCTTTGATAATCGTATCTATGGTGGTAATGTTACCCGAATCGATGAATATCCTTGGTTGGCCTTGATTGAGTACACAAAACGTATGTTTTTAGGAAACAATATATTTATAACTAAATATGGCCTTTGTCTGGATGGATTTGTATGTGTATGTCCTCCCCCTTAAAGTGTTGCATGAATTGATTGATAGTTGATTATGATTATGACTTAAAAAAATCGTATCATGGATTTTAGCTTACGTCTCATATTTTCGATTTAACTAAGGACATGTTATCTAAAAAGTAACCGGCAATAGCCGCAAATTCATACATTTTTGGGGTTTACCAGAAAAGAATTCATCACATCATCTTTCAAAATCTTGATATATCATGAATTTGGTCTTCTGGGTTCTTCATATACTCGCCAAGGGCTTTCCATCTCCATTATGTATTGTTTTTCACCCCTGACCATGAGCTTCATTTTGCCGCATAACTTATTTATCCCTACAATGGTGTTTTTGCTTCGTTATTGATGCATGATCCGAACCATTTTGTGATTTGAACTCAAACTCGTGAAATGTTTGGAAGGGGAAGTTTAAGCCATCGATAAAAACACAAGAAGAAATTGCTGACGTAAAGGAAGTAGAATAAAGCGTGTCTACGAATCGCGAAAAAGGAAAAATTATTTAAACCAGTAATGAACAATAGTTGAGTCGTTTATTTTGAAAGTGGTTTAAGTCCATTTTAGGTTTTAATACAAATCTGACTTTTCTAGAAAAGTTTACAAAATATATTACATTGTAAATTCTACCATGTTTAAGGGCACAAAGCTATAATCGAAATTAATACCACTTAACAATATTTTTTGGTGGGTAAAAACAACTTTTCAGGACATTTTCGATATCGGATTCTTTAGTCGCATTTTACAATCGAATTGCTGTAATTTGGCATTATTGAAAGATGCGAATGATGGTGCTAAGCACGTTTCCCAAACGAAGTGTTTACAATTTGACATTTCGGGTTATTGGTGGGAAATAAATTATTCCTTTATTAAGATTTATTTGACGAGAGTACAGGAGTAGACAGGTCAGTCAGTTCTCCAGTTTAAATCTCGCAACATTGCAGTTAGAGCTATTGTGCACGTACATTACTATTATTCCTAGAATGTTTGATATTGAAAATGGGATATATCGATCCACTTTTCAGGCTACAACCCATATATTCCGTACCCCACAATATTCGGTATTTTGAAGCTTTTGCGTACGTTTTTATACCACACTGTGGTACAGGGTATTATGTCTTTGTCCATATGTTTGTAATAGGCAATAGGAAACCAGATAGACAAATGGTTCCTTTTGAGTATAAGCATAGAATCACTTTCTGAGTCGATTTATGCATGTCCGTCCGTCTGTCCATGTTAAATTGTAAACAAAGTACAGGTCGCATTTATGATCCGAATTGGATGAAATTTGCCACAGCTCATTTATTTGGCCCAAGGAGGAATCCCATGGAAATTGGAAAAAATGGTTTCAGATTTAGATAAGTCTAGAATGATGTGTGTTAAGTTTCGTGAAAATCGGTTCAGATTTGGATAAAGCTCCCATATATATTTTCGTCCGATTTAATGTAAATGGTGTACCAAAGTCCCTATATATCTTTCGATTTGCACGAAACTTCGCATAGAGTAATGAATTATGTCTAGTGTAATGTGTGTTAAGTTTCGTGAAAATCGGTTCCGATTTAGATATAGCTCCCATATATATTTCAATCCGATTTTATGTAAATGGTGCACCAAAGTCCCTATATATCATTCTATTTATACGAAGTTTTACACAGCGTATTTAATTAAGTCTATAATGATGGGTGTTAAGTTTCTTGAAAATCGGTTCCGATTTAGATATAGCTCCCATAAATATTTTCGTCCGACTTAATGTAAATGGTGTACCAAAGTCCTTATATATCTTTCGATTTGCACAAAATTTCGCCAGTGTACTGAATTGAGCCTAGAATGATGTGTGTTAAGTTTTGTGAAAATCGGTTCAGATTTAGATATAGCTCCCATATATATTAATTTTGTCCGATTTTATGTAAATGGTGAACCAAATACGAAATGTTAGGTCGATTGGCACAAAAGTTTGCACAACGTACTGAGTTGGTGTAGTCCAACGAGTGTAAAGTTTTATTGGAATCGGTTCAGATTTAGAGTAAATCATGCACCAAGGACCCAAAATATGGTCCATATGCACAAAACGTGCTAAAATTAGTATAAACTAACCTGTGACAAGTTTCGTTAAAATCAGTTTAGATATATCTTCTATTAATATTTTCGTCCGATTTTATGTAAATGGTGGCCCAAACTCCTCATTTTTGTTATATTGACGCGAAATTTTGCACAACGTACAAAATTAATAGAAATGCAGACTTAGCCCATATATTTGACCGACTTCATGTTTATTGGGTTTCAAATAATCGACGAGTGTCCGATTGAGACTTGCTTCAAATCGATTTACGTAATTATGTCTCATTCTCTATCTATCCAAACGAAGACTTTAGTATAGGGTACAGAATGACATGTTTATGGATTGATCTAAGTCGGTTCACATATTACATTTTAGTTCATCCAATTTTATGTCAATGGTCCTTCGATAGATTTGACACTTACTAAAAAACCAAAAAAAAAAAAAAAAAATCCAAAAAATGTACCCCAAATATTGGTTATCATGATCATGTTTGCGTCCAATGGGAAACTAAAAAAAGCAAGCGAAAAAGGGGTTAACTTCGGTCGGGCCGAACTTGGGATACCCTTCACCATATACTTGATGCTTGAAATTAAAATATGGGGAACATACAACAACCAAATACCGAAAATGGGTAGGTATCACAATATGGGAATAGGCCTAGCTGGGACCGAAGTTTTTTACTTCGATATCCCCCGATGGTAGAATGATTAAAAAAGATGGCTAAAACGTCTTAGAATTCCATATTTCGAGTACAGAATATATAAACTACTATGGTGGAATGCGACTGCATGGGAATAAACCCAAAACGCGGAAAAAATCAGATAATTATTTTTAATATAAAAAGGGGGTTATATGGGGACTACCCCAAAAAGGGAGCGAATATTAATAATTTTTGGTAGGGAGATTTTTTACTATATACGACTACAAAATACCAAATTACAGGGAATTCGGTTGAAAAACGCGCTCATGAACCCCAAAATACCAAAAATTGGGGGTACCCTTATATGGGGGCTATCCGAAAAAAATGAATCTACATTCATAATTAGAGGGTACCGTTATATGGGGGCTACCAGAAAAAGTGGACCTATATTTATAATTTTTTGTGGAGAAATTTGATACCCAATAAGAACCCAATGTACCAAATTTCAGATAATTCGCTTGAAAAACGCGCTCAAGAACCCCAAAATACCGAAAATTGGGGGTATCCTTATATGGGGGTAATCCGAAAAAGTTTACATATATTCATAATTTTTTGTGGATAGTTTTGGTGCCTATTAAAAACTTAAAATATTAAATTACAGCCAATGCTGTGGACAAATATGATCAAATCCCCCAAAATACTGAATATTAGGGAGTACCGTTATATGGGGTCTACCAGAAAAAGTGGACTTATATTTATAATTTTTTTGTGGAGAAATTTGGTACCTAATAAGAACATAATGTAGCAACTTTCACAGAATTCGGTTTAAAGACGTGCTCAAGAACCCCAATATACCAAAAATTGGGGGTACCCTTATATGGGAGCTATGCCTAAACGTGGACCGATATATCCCATCTTCGAACTTGACCTGTCTGCAGAAGAAAGACAATTCTATGCAAAATTGCAGCACCCTATCTCAATTCCTTCAGAAGATAGCGTGAATACAACAGACGGACGGACATGGCTAAATCGTCTTACAATTTCACCCTGATCAAGAATATATATCGTTAGGTAAAATGCAAAAAGGCGTAAGTAACAAAAAATTGACTTTTTGAAGGAATATTGTGAATGTCAATAAACTACATGTGTTGACAAAGTTTTACAAGTCTGCGGTCAAAAAAGAAGCTTCTATTAACAAAAAACAAAAAGATGTAACTACAAGTGGGTTTATTTGATAAATGCAAAAATGCGTAACTAAAAAAAATTCAAATTTTTACTTAATTGTTATGACTGCCATTAAACTAAATAACTAAATTTGTTAAAAAATTATAGTCTATTATTCGTCATATGAAATATCACCCTGCCGGGCATACTTTTTCATTTCACATGACATGTTTATAGTTTACATTCAAAACAGTTTTTTGCTTCTCCTACATAATTATTTTTTGTTAGTTACGCCTTTTTGCATTTTAGCTAACGATATACTTAATAGGGTCGGAAATAAATATTTCGATGAGTTACAAACGGAATGACAAAATTAATATACCCTCCATACTATGGTGGAGGGTATAAAAATACTAAGGGCTACTGATAAATGTGGGTCAATATTTAATCCAAAATCCCATATTACAGACACTTCGGCCAAAATGCCGAATATTGTGGATGATTATTTGGCGATGGACTGATTATTCCATACCGTCAGACATCAAAAATTTTAATTTTTGAGCTATATCAGACTTCATGTTGTGTAAAAAAATAAGATGTCAAAATCAGCAATGCACGATATATTGCTTAAAAAGCGTTGACATTAAATGCTTTATGTACTATCACACATAAAGGAATGTATGCATGAAATAAAAAAAAACCCTTATTACATAAATTCCAGGCGAAGGTCACATGCATGCCCCATAAACTTACTCCAAATATTGTAAATATCAACCAAAATTTTCAGCTGGTAACATAAAGAATTTCTTCTGTGGTGGATCATTGATTAATAAGCGATATATCCTCACCGCTGCTCATTGCGTTACCGGTCGAGCGCTGCAAACCAATGTTCCCACGGGTGTACGTCTGGGGGAATGGGATCGTTCCACAACACGGGACTGCGAGCGTTTGGCCAATAATCAATTAGATTGTGCCGACCCTCATATCGACGTTGGCATTGAAGACCTCATTCCACATCCTCAATATAATGAAAATTCGGCAAATCGTCTATACGATATCGCTTTGATACGTCTAAATCGTGACATTGAATATACGAATTTCGTAAGTCCCGTTTGTTTACCAATGGCACAGGAGATGCGTACGAAAACTTTTAATGCAATGACAATGGATGTGAGTGGGTTTGGTGCAACCGAGACGGGTACAAGTAGTAATTTGAAATTGAAAGCTACCATTGAAGCGTGGACTGATGCCGAATGTCGTCAGAAATATGCAATGCGAAGAATTAATTTAGAAAATTCACAAATGTGTGCTGGTGGTGTTGCTGGCATTGATTCGTGTACTGGTGATTCAGGTGGTCCATTGGTGGTGCGTCAACGTCTAGATAATCGTGATGTTTATGTTCAAGCGGGTATTGTATCGTTTGGTCCACGACAATGTGCTACCGCCGGTTGGCCTGGTGTCTATACACGTGTGGGGGCCTATGCTGATTGGATTTTACAAAATATGAAACCTTAAAGATGTAAAGATAGGTTTTTGATGATAATAAAATTTAATTTTTTTCGGAAGAATAATATTTTACTGCGAATTTTTAATTTAAGATACCTACATTTTACATAAATGCCCAGGTCTGGAAATACCCACGAACTCAATAGGTTATGAAAAATTATTTTCAAGCCTCTGATATGCTTTGGAAAAATATTTTTACAGAATCCAAGCCCCTGATATGTCCTGGAAACATATTTTTAAAAAATCCACCAGGTCTTGGAAAACTATTCCGTGAAAAATACTATTTAAAAAATCCACGTCTGATAGGCGTGGAACAAATATTCCGTGAAAAATACTATTTAGAAAATCCACTCCTATCAGAGCCCTTGAAAAAAACTATTCCGTGAAAAATACTATGTAGAAAATCCACTCCTATCAGAGCCCTTGAAAAAACTATTCCGTGAAAAATACTAATAAAAAATCCACGTCTATCATGGCCCATGAAAAAAATATTCCATGAAAAATACTATTTAGAAAATCCACACCTATCAAAGTCCTTGAAAAAATATTCCGTAAAAAATACTCCTTAAAACTCCACGCCTTGTCAATGAACTTGAAAAAATATTCCGTAAAAAATACTCCTTAAAACTCCACGCCTTGTCAATGAACTTGAAAAAATATTCCGTAAAAAATACTCCTTAAAACTCCACGCCTTGTCAATGAACTTGAAAAAATATTCTTTTATAAATCCACGCCTTTGATAGGCCTTGAAAAAATATTCTTTTATAAATCCACGCCTTTGATAGGCCTTGAAAAAATATTCTTTTATAAATCCACGCCTTTGATGGGCCTTGAAAAAATATTCTTTTATAAATCCACGCCTTTGATAGGCCTTGAAAAAATATTCTTTTATAAATCCACGCCTTTGATAGGCCTTGAAAAAATATTCTTTTATAAATCCACGCCTTTGATAGGCCTTGAAAAAATATTCTTTTATAAATCCACGCCTTTGATAGGCCTTGAAAAAATATTCTTTTATAAATCCACGCCTTTGATAGGCCTTGAAAAAATATTCTTTTATAAATCCACGCCTTTGATAGGCCTTGAAAAAATATTCTTTTATAAATCCACGCCTTTGATAGGCCTTGAAAAAATATTCTTTTATAAATCCACGCCTTTGATAGGCCTTGAAAAAATATTCTTTTATAAATCCACGCCTTTGATAGGCCTTGAAAAAATATTCTTTTATAAATCCACGCCTTTGATAGGCCTTGAAAAAATATTCTTTTATAAATCCACGCCTTTGATAGGCCTTGAAAAAATATTCTTTTATAAATCCACGCCTTTGATAGGCCTTGAAAAAATATTCTTTTATAAATCCACGCCTTTGATAGGCCTTGAAAAAATATTCTTTTATAAAACCACGCCTTTGATAGGCCTTGAAAAAATATTCTTTTATAAATCCACGCCTTTGATAGGCCTTGAAAAAATATTCTTTTATAAATCCACGCCTTTGATAGGCCTTGAAAAAATATTCTTTTATAAATCCACGCCTTTGATAGACCTTGAAAAAATATTCTTTTATAAATCCACGCCTTTGATAGGCCTTGAAAAAATATTCTTTTATAAATCCACGCCTTTGATAGGCCTTGAAAAAATATTCTTTTATAAATCCACGCCTTTGATAGGCCTTGAAAAAATATTCTTTTATAAATCCACGCCTTTGATAGGCCTTGAAAAAATATTCTTTTATAAATCCACGCCTTTGATAGGCCTTGAAAAAATATTCTTTTATAAATCCACGCCTTTGATAGGCCTTGAAAAAATATTCTTTTATAAATCCACGCCTTTGATAGGCCTTGAAAAAATATTCTTTTATAAATCCACGCCTTTGATAGGCCTTGAAAAAATATTCTTTTATAAATCCACGCCTTTGATAGGCCTTGAAAAAATATTCTTTTATAAATCCACGCCTTTGATAGGCCTTGAAAAAATATTCTTTTATAAATCCACGCCTTTGATAGGCCTTGAAAAAATATTCTTTTATAAATCCACGCCTTTGATAGGCCTTGAAAAAATATTCTTTTATAAATCCACGCCTTTGATAGGCCTTGAAAAAATATTCTTTTATAAATCCACGCCTTTGATAGGCCTTGAAAAAATATTCTTTTATAAATCCACGCCTTTGATAGGCCTTGAAAAAATATTCTTTTATAAATCCACGCCTTTGATAGGCCTTGAAAAAATATTCTTTTATAAATCCACGCCTTTGATAGGCCTTGAAAAAATATTCTTTTATAAATCCACGCCTTTGATAGGCCTTGAAAAAATATTCTTTTATAAATCCACGCCTTTGATAGGCCTTGAAAAAATATTCTTTTATAAATCCACGCCTTTGATAGGCCTTGAAAAAATATTCTTTTATAAATCCACGCCTTTGATAGGCCTTGAAAAAATATTCTTTTATAAATCCACGCCTTTGATAGGCCTTGAAAAAATATTCTTTTATAAATCCACGCCTTTGATAGGCCTTGAAAAAATATTCTTTTATAAATCCACGCCTTTGATAGGCCTTGAAAAAATATTCTTTTATAAATCCACGCCTTTGATAGGCCTTGAAAAAATATTCTTTTATAAATCCACGCCTTTGATAGGCCTTGAAAAAATATTCTTTTATAAATCCACGCCTTTGATAGGCCTTGAAAAAATATTCTTTTATAAATCCACGCCTTTGATAGGCCTTGAAAAAATATTCTTTTATAAATCCACGCCTTTGATAGGCCTTGAAAAAATATTCTTTTATAAATCCACGCCTTTGATAGGCCTTGAAAAAATATTCTTTTATAAATCCACGCCTTTGATAGGCCTTGAAAAAATATTCTTTTATAAATCCACGCCTTTGATAGGCCTTGAAAAAATATTCTTTTATAAATCCACGCCTTTGATAGGCCTTGAAAAAATATTCTTTTATAAATCCACGCCTTTGATAGGCCTTGAAAAAATATTCTTTTATAAATCCACGCCTTTGATAGGCCTTGAAAAAATATTCTTTTATAAATCCACGCCTTTGATAGGCCTTGAAAAAATATTCTTTTATAAATCCACGCCTTTGATAGGCCTTGAAAAAATATTCTTTTATAAATCCACGCCTTTGATAGGCCTTGAAAAAATATTCTTTTATAAATCCACGCCTTTGATAGGCCTTGAAAAAATATTCTTTTAAAAATCCACGCCTTTGATAGGCCTTGAAAAAATATTCTTTTAAAAATCCACGCCTTTGATAGGCCTTGAAAAAATATTCTTTTATAAATCCACGCCTTTGATAGGCCTTGAAAAAATATTCTTTTATAAATCCACGCCTTTGATAGGCCTTGAAAAAATATTCTTTTATAAATCCACGCCTTTGATAGGCCTTGAAAAAATATTCTTTTATAAATCAACGCCTTTGATAGGCCTTGAAAAAATATTCTTTTATAAATCCACGCCTTTGATGGGCCTTGAAAAAATATTCTTTTATAAATCCACGCCTCACAGTGTCACGACCGCGGCCAAAAATGGTCAAAAACAAGTACCACGGAGGACAAATTTTTTGATGAGGATTGATAGAAAATACTCCAATTAGAATAAATATGAAATATTACATAGTTTTGTCTCTACAAAGGTTCAAATCTGATAATTATTTATTAACTGATTTTTTACCATATTTTCGAAAAATGGGTGTATTTTTCTGATGCTCAAATATTTGAATATTCAAATTAACGGTTATTATAAAAGTGTTTATTTTGGTTGCTGTGGATGTAAAAACTAGGATTCGCTTTAGTTTGTATGTATATAGATATCATATGGTGTATACAGTCGTCCACACTTGTAGTACTTAGTTCATCAAATTTGTAAAACAAATTTTGAAATTAGTGGAGCAGAAAAAAAAAAGTTTAAAAAAGGTTAGCTCTAATTTTTTTTATTTTAGTGGTGAAAAGTGTGTTATTTAAGGAATAAAAAAATTAGCTGCGGAGTCCTGCGGTCCTAAGAGTTATTTAACTTTTTTGGTGACCACCTTATGAAAAAATATGGCATATTCACGAAATGGTTAGAAGCGAATGGTCAAATATGTTATGTATACAATTAAATAAGTTATTGAGGGTCAAATAGGAAGGAGAAAATGGATTCAGAACATAGTAATAATACAATATTTTACATAAAATATGCAATTAAGTGGTAAAAACGTTATTCGAAGCGGAGATATGGGAGAATTGGTTTTAAAGTATAGCTTTTAAATAAATTTTCAGTCAGTTTGAAGATTATACTTATTTATCAGATCATTTGAGACATAATCTTATAATCTTAATTTAGAGGTCGCACATGAATTACCTTTGTGGAAGGTTCATACAGAAAAATATTAGTTCATGGCATGGGATACGCAAAGTGCAGTACAATACCTTTTGAGCGACTTTCACAAGATGCTAACAAGTCATGCCAACAAATAATTAGTAGCAGCCCGAACTTTTGTTAAAGTCGAGTTAAATAAGGATTTTATTTAGTATTTTATATTACAATCCGACCTTGTAATATCCTTAAACAGCCATAAAGTAAAGGCCCGAGATTATAATGTGAATGATACTAAATCGTACATTTGGGAAGACAATATTATATATATATATATATATCTGATGTGTGTTTTGAAAATGTTGTGAATGATAAAAAAGTAATTTATTAGTTACTAAAGGAGATCAATTATTTATTATATTATAGTATATCTAACAGAACTAAAACTACTATACTTAATTGAGCTGCATATAACGATTTTATAGTACAGAAAGTTAAATTTTTAGGGACTTTTGGTATGGTAGGTACCTGAAATATGGGCCAACAACTAAATTACAACACGTATTACTGTCTTCGCCCAAATTTGATGTAATTTGGACGAAGACATGAAAATTTTCATGGAATTTGGATGAATATAAAAAATGTTTAGGTCCAAAAATCGGATTTTTCAAGACCCTTTGTTTGGGAGGTATATCAAATCTTGGTCCGGTCTACCCAGTTTTT